AGTGTTTCCTTTTGTGAAAACTATTTGGGGGGTCAATTTTAAAAAGCCGGTAAATTATATTTTCTGTGATTTTTTGGATATCGGATATCGTTGAAATTTCCTTTGACTCCCTAAACAGACTTTATTAAAGTTGCGAGTTTATTTATCAATGATATCTTCTTCTTTCTCTGCTTATCCATTAATGGATGTTTGCGACCACACTTTCCATGGCTTCCCTATCTCTGGCTGGGATCTCATCCGGCCCAGCTCTTTTATTATTCTTCGCAAGTTGTATAGCCTTTTCAATCTCTTCTTTCGTACTAGAAGGTCCAGTTAGATTAATTTCGACTGTGAGTTTTTGTCAATGATATAATCAAATATGTTTTAATTCAACTACGTATTTTAATATATATCATATTTTAATCTAGATTTATTTGTGCATATATCGAATTTTGGGTTTATATCAAAATTTACAAAAAATAAAATAAAAACTGTGCATAACGTATTAATGAAAATATTTATTTATATTAAAAAACCAAATGGATACGAAATATTATTTTCGAATACGCTTTGAAAAATAATTTGTTTCTTGCATTGACATAAACAAATATTCAATATATGTTTTTTATCCACAGACATATTTGATTGTATTTTCTAAAATTAATCATTTCGTTCAGCTGAAATTTAAAAACAATATTTGAAAAAAAAACTTTCATATTATAATTAAATAAAGACTAAAATATGTCCAACGAGAAGGTACAGTGGTGGCCAAAAGTATGGAAACTTTTTACTTTTTAAAATATCACAGAAAATATTGCTATGCTTAAACTCTCAGAAATATAAATGAACAGCTTATCAGCAAATAAAAGTATTCCAAAAATTACACAGCGAAAAAAATCTGTTTAGCAGTTTTTGTAGGAGAACAATAGATTTCTTGTGGCCAAAAGTATGGAAACCATAAATAAATACATTAAAATTATTTAGTTTAAGCTGATAAACGGTACGATTTGCTTCAGATAAATATAAACACCATGCCCAAGTCTAAATATTTCTCTACGGATTTAAAAAATAAAATAGTTGAATTATACAAGAGCGGTTATAAACAAATTCAAAAAAGTAAAAATTTAAACATTTTAAAAGGCACCGTTTCGAAAATAATTCGTAAATTTAATAAAACAGGGAACGTTTCAACAGCTTTTAAGTCAGGAAGACCAAGAAAGTTGTGCAACCAGGACAATGAAAGTAATGAAGAGAATATCAATGGGAGATCCAAGAAAAACATCCACAGACATTTCTCGAGAAATGGGTGAAAGGGGAATATCGGTGTCTGCAAGCACGGTGAGAAGAAGGTTGGATGACATGGGACTTTTTGGAAGAGTTGCGGTGAAGAATCCACTAATATCAAAGAAAAATAGGATGGCCCGCTTTAAATTTGCTCAAGATCATCTCACCTGATCTTATCAGAAATAGAATACTATACTGTTTAGCGACGAAAGCAAGTTTCAACTGTTTGGTAGTGACGGGAGACGTTATGTCCGAAGACCAAAAGGTACACGGTACAGCCATAAGTACCAGATGCCCACAGTAAAACATGGGGGTGGGAGTATAATGGTATGGGGGTGTTTTTGTCGCTCAGGTGTTGGTCCTCTTGTTAAAATTGATGGGATAATGGACCGTTTTTTGTACAAAGACATATTGGAGAATAATATGTTGCCTCATGCTGATGAAGAAATGCCACTCAGATGGTTGTTCCAGCAAGACAATGATCCCAAGCACAAATCTCGGTTTGTTCAAAATTGGTTAAATGAACATAATGTTCCACTAATGGATTGGCCCTCACAGTCTCCGGATCTTAACCCCATAGAAAATTTATGGGACCATTTGGATAGCAAAATTCGAAGCCATTCTATTTCAAATAAAAATGAATTATGGGAAGTGCTAAAAACTGAATGGGCGGGCCATTTCCAGTAAAATTGTTCGAGATTGATCGATTCGATGCCACGAAGATGTAGAGAAGTAATTAATTCAAAGGGATATTCCACTAAATATTAGTAATTTTTATTTTATCTTGAATTTTAATAAACATTCTTCTTAAGTTTCCATACTTTTGACCAAGAAAATATTCATAATTGAAATCTATTGTTCTCCTACAAAAACTGCTAAACAGATTTTTTTCGCTGTGTAATTTTTGGAATACTTTTATTTGCTGATAAGCTGTTCATTTATATTCCTGAGAGTTTAAGCATAGCAATATTTTCTGTGATATTTTAAAAAGTAAAAAGTTTCCATACTTTTGGCCACCACTGTATATAACAGGGGACAGTTTTAAAATAAAATTTCATCGCCATTTTTTGGTTTGTCTCTGGTTGAAAAATCTTTCCTCATTGGTTGGACTCTCACAAAATAATATTTTTGTCAATATCGTTATTTTTACTTAATACATATGTCAAGTGTGGATACTTGATGCTTTTATAATAGTATATTGTTTTAATAGAAGTAAAAATGATACTACTTGTGGCGATGCTACGACAGAAGAGTCACAAAAAGTCATTTTTACTCCGAATAGAACATTATATTTTGTTTCAAACGTTCACAAATAATGTTTTAAACAATTTCAATCGTTGCAAATTATATAAAAAGATTTAAAAGTAATGCCTTGTAATATTATACATATCGAGTAACTATGGTTAGGCTTGTTGAATTTGACACTTTATGTCTTTGAGACTATATTTTCGTACTTTTGTGCTTAGGCCTAAAAGTGCTTCACTTTCATGCCTAGGCGTTAAAATTACAGTTTTATATTGGCAATCACGTCGCACAAATTAATACTTTTGTAATGTTTGAAAAAAAAATATATATTTTTATAATATACAGATTTGTTTAATTAACTCTGATATGTTTATTTAATAAAATATACTACTTTAAAAAATCCTGAGCAAAATCACTGTACAAGGTCTTATACAGCTATAAAGTGCATAGAAGAAACATCTTATTTACTTAGTTACTTTCCTTCTATTCAAGTTAAAGGCCAGGAAACGAGTAAAGATAGAAAAAAAATTAAGTCATTGAACTTCACATTTATTATTACCACTTTATAAATAAAAACAAAGAAAGTAAATCTTTGGTGTTTCTTTTCTTAAAATATAATATGCTATCATCGGTAAACAAAGTCTATAATTTGTTCGAACGTCGTCTATCGAAATCATATTAATATACCTACCTATTAAATGATCGAAAAAAAAACGGCGTCAAATTGGTTTGGAAATGGCTCTTCATCACATTCCCCTTATAATTATGACAGTTTGCATAAAAAAATGACAGCGATCTTCATTTCCTTACCTACCCTAACTCAGTTTTTTTTCGATCGTATGGTACACCCTGTTCCATATAATAATCCAGACTATAGGGATCATCTAAACCCGAGTTAAGAGATAAAATAATGACAGAGAAAAAATTAGAAAAAAGTTAAATGGTTACTAAAAAATCAGATTATTTTCGAAGATATCTGGGAATAACCTAATTTTATCGATTTTGTCCTTGTTTCACTCTGTTTGAAAAGGATGACGACTTGGAAAAGACATAAAATAATAAATAACTAAATTAATAAATATGATTTATTTCTTAGTGGTATTTTAAATGATATATTCTTCATCATTTTATAGTCTTCTTGGCCTTTATTTTATATTCTTTTTATTCAAAATGTAATCAACAAAAATAAATAATGTCTTAACCTTTCTACTGTTTTTTCAGTATTATAAATCTTCATATGTAAATTGGACACAGTGTCATTTTACAAAAATACATATTAGATTGATTTTTTAAATTCTAATTTTAGTAGTCGATCTGTTCACAATTTCCAACGTAAAGAAACTTTCAAAAAATAGGTACAAACATTATTTAATAACAAAATTATCAGTATGACGAGGTCCAGCGAATATTTTGTTAAAAAAGTAAGTGAGAGAGATAATATAAAATATACTAGCGTGTACCAGCGATTTGTAATGGTGATGATAAAGCAAAGTAAAAATTTCCATTAACATACAAACTGGATAAAATTTTCTCACATTTATGTCAGCATGAGAAATAACAATATGGCGATATTATTATATAACTTGGTAATATTTGAGGGGTAGTTTCATCTCGTTGGAATTTAACTTTCGAAAAATCCGTTTGCCAAAAATAAGTTTTTTACGTCAAGCAGTTTAAGCAGAATCGTGGTTAAGAAATTACCCAACTTTTTGGAACACCCTGTATGATTTTTTAAAACATTTCAAAATATGTAAAAAAACCAAATAAATTATGCTTGTCCAAGCGCTTTCCCGAAAGACTAACCGTTTTTTAAATAACAAATATTGTAATATTTGAGGGGCGTTTTCACCCTCTTGGAATTTGAGATTCGAGAAACCCCTCCTTATCGAACCTCTACACCCCACAGTAAATCCGTTTGCCAAAAATCAGCTTTAACCGTCAAACAGTTTAAGCAGAATCGTGATTATTCAATGGTCATATTTTATGAAACACCCTGTATAAATTTATATATATTTAATTATAAAAAATCTTACCGGTTATTAAATAAAAAATATTTTAATATTTGAGGGATAGTTTCACCCCCTTAGAATTCGAGTTTCGAAAAATCCCTTCTTATCGAACCTCTATACCCTAAAGTCGATCTGTTTTCCAAAAATCAGCTTTATACGTCAAGCGCTTTAAGCAGGATCGTGATTAATCAATGACCAGATTTTTCGAAACACCCTATATACATTTTTAAAAAAATTTAAAATATGTAAAAAACAAAATAAAATATAGTACGTGTTTCAGCGTTTTTCCCGGAAACTTGACCGTTTTTTAAATAAAAAATATTGTAATATTTGAGGGGTGGTTTCACCCCCCCGGAACTGGAATTTCGAAAAATCCATTCTTATCGAACCTCTACACCGTCAGTCACTTAAGGATTTTATATATTAGTATAGATAAAACTTAATATCATTAATAAATTATAAAAGAAAATATAAATAACTTACAACACAAATAAAGCCAATCCAAACCAAGAGCAAAAAAAGCAGATTCCTTATCAACGTAACGATAAAATTAAATCACCGCTCGTGTAAGTGCGTACCGCCGCCAAGTCAAGAGTCGCGAACTCGAGGAAGCACCGGCCAAAGAACGACTCGCAAAAGAACTGACTAGACTTTTGCGGTTTTCACCTCGACGTTGTCGTGTCTGTCTGTCGGTCAATCGGTCGTAAGTCGCGTACCCCACGTGGGGGGACTCCACTTTCCCTAAAAATCATCAGCCGGGTCTGGTGTGTTTTTGTGCATGTACCTACCTGGTGGTAACAAAATTAAAGTAACTAATTATTACTTCACGTTGTAACAATCTGGTATTTAATAACAAATAATGGGGACTGTGAAGCAGAGATAAGAAGGCGTATAGCAATGGCACGGACGGCTATGATGAGCCTAAGAAAAATATGGGCAGATAGGAACATAACCAAAAACACCAAAAAGATCCTTGTTCGATCTTTGGTGTTCTGCATATTCCTATATGGGTCTGAGCAAAGGTCTGAGTCATGGACCGTCAAGAGCGCTGATAGACACCGTATAGATGCATGGTACGAAGAATACAAGGTATGATATTGCGCAGGTTGGTCGCTACGTCACAGGTGATAACAGGCGCTATTGGTCAGCACCCTCCGCGCGCCAGTTCAAATCGTCAAGATATTGTTATAAACCTGTTTTTTGTTTATATACCGTCATTGAATTATCGCTAAGTAAGTTACTGTGGAGCAGTGCGTAAGGAGTCGGGCTAGGAAGCGAGAGACCGGAGTTCGAATCTCGGCCGGGACATAACTTTTTATTTATTTTTTTAAATACTGTTGTATTCTACATATAGTTTATTTTTATAGTATAAAAAAAGAACTATTTATTCTGTTATTTTATAATCTCCGGTATTAATATAAATTGATTGTTGGTACAATACCTCATTTAATATAAAATAATATTCTACTTTTTGAAATGTATCGGGCCCTAATTGTACCTAAAAGCAATATATTTTTAGTGATATATCATATTGTAAACTATTTAATATTTCAGTCACTTAAAAAGTTAATTCGCATTGAATAATTGCCTACCATTAAAGGAAATTTGAGCTATATAATACTTGATGGGCATTTTCTGGGTATGCAAATACTTCCTCTAAATTTTAGGTTTCGTTCAACCGATTTATTCTTAAAACCTGAAACATCTACATATAAAAAGAAGCACAGGTCACTAATTATAATAAACTCTTCACCCTTGGAATTACTTCCACTAATTATAATAAACTTCACCCTTGGAATTACTTCTATCACAATTACAATACATTCATTTGCATTGGCATTTTCTACTTTTCTATGGGAAACTTCAACTTCCCAACATTTTTTAAATGATGTAACAATTCCTCTTGTGGTTACTTTTCCATAGATATCCTCATCTCTGTCCTCATGTGAATTCAGAGGCAATGTACATGAAGATTATTTACCATAAACATCGCAAACTGAAAACCTAATAAACAATTTTATACCGAATATAGAAATAAATTTGTATTCTTACCTATTATCGTCCAAATCCATGTTAATATATAATTATTATCTTTAAATATATTTTTGGAACTGCTGGTTTTAGTAATTATTAAATTAAACGAACTAAAAAGTCTTAAAAATAAACAATTCTTAACCATAACCCCAAAAAATGCAGATCTCCTGTCAACTTTCTTTATTTTTTATTTATTCATTATTTTCCTAGTGACGTCACAGGTAGTATGCGCGAACTGAACGAAATTGGAGCCGCTATCGATCATACCTTGTATTCTTTGTACAATGGTATAGATGCATTTGAGATGTGGTGCTGGAGGAGAATGCTCCATATCCCATGGACAGCTCGAACAACGAACCAGTCAATTCTCGATGAACTCGGCATCACAGATCGATTATCCACCATCTGCCGTAGAGGCATCCTGCAATATACTTCGGTCATATCACTCACAGAGGTAAAGACAACCTTGAGAAACTCATTGTACAAGGCAAAGTAGAAGGCCGAAGACCCAGAGGACGATCACCATCAAGATGGCTTGACCAAATAGCAAATATTACAGGTCATCCATTTCAATCAAATCTCCGAGAGGGGCGGAAGGTCGCCAACAATGGAAGACACCAGCTGTACATAGCCATAATGTCACGATTCTTCAGACATGAAAAGACGACGAAGAAGAAGATGAAGTAACAATCTAATGATAATAAGAACATCTTCAAAGTCAAATCTAAATCAAGTACTTAACCAAAATGAAAGCAATTCGAAACACAAAAGAAACGCGTAGCAAACAATTCCGACTGTTTTATAAGTTGAGCACGCACAATTTAACCAACATGTGTTTTCTTTGAACGTGAAAAGAACGTTTTTTTTGTTGTGTCTGATTTACTATTTTTAGGTAAAACCACTGAAAATTCTATTGCTTTGACATTTTCATGGAAATTAGTACCAATTACTTTAATTTTCCACCATTAGAATGCTTGCGTTACAAATAGAATATAAATTAGTGATAAAAAAGAATATAATCAAATTTGATACAGCCTTGGTAAGACCAATTAGACTGCTATACGAAGGAAGCTTCCAACTGGGACAATGTGTACATCAAAAAAAAATGATGGTGACACAAATATAAAGATTAGATAGGGAGTCTGATCTTGGAATTAATTTGCTTGTCACTAGTAAGTAAATGCAGTAATTTTTAAAATTCAGTAATTCCAACATTAGATATGATGTATTATGGTTAATTAATTTTAAAATGACCACGAACTGGTCAAGATAAAAAGAGTCATGTATTATATATTTTTTTTTTTTATTTTTTGTGTAAATAAATTCAGTGTGCCACTTTTTTCGACTTTATATAAACCGATGTTGCGTTCAAAATTAACGAAATCAATGAACGGAATTAATGATTACTTCCGGAAATTTCGGTTATTTCGCAACATTTCTCCAATTAAAGAAACGTTTTAGTAAGTTATGTAACTCAATGAATATTATTAAACAATAAATAATACGTTTTTACATACATAATCCTCTTTAGATTATATTTTGGTTTGGTTTGGTTTGATAATTTAATTCGGTGTACGGTGAGTTTCTATACTAAAAGAAAAAATATTTGAATGAAATAAAAATAAATAAACAAACGAATTAAAATGCCCAAAAAATAGGTACAATTTTTTTAAATTTCACTCAAAATGAGTTATTATAGACCTAAATACAAGATATTCGTCTACAGTCTATATATACAGTCTATATATAGACCTAAATACAAGATATTTGTCTGTCTGTCTGTCTGTCTGTCCGTCTGTAACACGATAACTCAAAAACCGCTAAACCGATTTTAACCAAATTTGATTTGACAAAAATACTGTGGCACCCGAGAATCTGGCTATTAGTTTTTGGTGGGGGTGGGGGGTTGGTAAGGGGGTATGGGAGGGGGTTAATAATTTTAAAAAGTCGTAACTCCAAAATTACAGTAGCTACCGAAACGCGGTTTTCAATTTAAGATTAGGAATAATAATATATTTTAATTATAGTAATATAACAAAATTTGTAGTAAACACAAGTTTATGTGGACACATAAAATATAGGTATGTACTTGTCAAATTAAAAATGAGAAAATAAACAAAGTATTAAAATTCCAAGCAAAAATCTACATACAATACCTTTTTGTGTCTATAACAGCATCAAGAAATTCAAAAACGACAACCTTCAATAAGTCAGTCATAAATACCTAGTGGTGGCCATAACGATTGTCATCGGCATGATTGTCAATCAGTAGTAAATTTTTCAATACACTGAAACATAAAAAACTTGCTTAACAATAACAATTGACTATAGTTATGACATACACATTTTATCTTCAAGGTTTTTTTATCGGTTTTCCAATTTTTCTTGGTTTGCTACTCTGTTTCCTTCTCCTCATAAATATTCATCATTTTTAACATTGATTTTATTTTAATTTCGTGAAATTATGAACCAGTTAATGGGTGATAGAACAAGTTCAGGATAAAACAAGTGAATTTTTAATTAGTTTGTTTTCAAAGTTTTGTACGAGAAGAACGAACTTTTAAACGAGTTCCTCACGCTTTCTTTGGTTTTGACCTTTCATGGTTGAAGTGGCAAAAGGAAAGGTTTCGTTTTCTGGTTTTATTCCTCTTGGTGATAGTAAAAATTAAAAAGCTGCGACCTTTAAGCTAATAAAAATGTTAATTTTGGTGTATTTAAAGCCTGTCCAACAAGTCGGGGAAGATTTCGAGAGATGACATCCAAAAAAAAACACAGGAAATATATAATCTACTTCTTAATTAAAAGCATACATAAAAGAAACAAGTTTAGATTGGAAAGTGTCCATAAGGATAATGTAAATACTATTTGGCGCTATTCTTACAACGGTCGCTCTCCAAAGCTTTTGATAATTTCGGAGCGGTTCGGCTTTTTCCGGAATTATGCCGCCAAATATTATTTATTCAAATTTATTAGCAACCAATATAGCAGCGCCGCGCCCTACAACATATGCGTTCCAAAACAATTATAAGTTTCGGGGGCATGCCAAGCATTCCAATCTAAACTTGTTTCCTTTATCTATGATTAAAATCGGGGACAACTGTCACCATGATAGTCTAATTCTTCTTCTTCTTTACGTGCCGTCTCTTTCGTGGAGGTTGGCGATCACATTGGCAAACTCTTCACGATTCTCGGCTTTCCTTATGAGTTCTTCAAAAGTTAGGTGAGTCCAGTTTCTGATGTTTCTCAACCAAAATAGTTTCTTCCTGCCGAGACCTCTCTTTCCTTCAATCTTACCCTTAACTATCAATTGTAAGACGTGGTATTTTTCATTTCTCAATATATGCCCTAAGTATGATGTTTTTCTTATTTTTATTATATTGAGCAATTCTCTTTCTCTGCCTATTCTGTTGTAGACTTCGGTATTTGTAATATGGGCTATCCATGGAATTTTAAGCATTCTTCGATATATCCATGTTTCGAACGATTCGAGGCGATTCATCTCTTGAACTTTCAGTGTCCATGTTTCTGCTCCGTATAATAGGAATGACCAAACATAACACTTAATGAGCCTAGTTCTCAACTCAAGGTCCAATCTGGGGTTCTGGAAGACGTTCTTCATTTTTAAAAATGCATTTCTCGCTTGT